TAAAGAAAAAACCCAAATTAAAAACCCAAAGGAAAAAAAACCACAAAGGAGAAAACCCAAAGAAACTACAAGTAACTGTTGAACTTCTTTCATTTGAAGTTAAGAATGTATGTTCAGAAAAAAACACAACAACTCCTCAGGAGTTTAAAAACAAAGCTGTGAATATTGACCTGTCACAGCTATTCAATATATCACTGTTATTGCACTGAAGTGGTAACTCTAATAGGATTAAGATGCAGAGAAGAACCAAAATAGCTATTTATGGGTAAGGTAAGAAAGGAGAGAAACCAACTTACCCAGACACCACCCAGGGTTCTGCATGCTGGTCAGAAATATTGAAGAGGCGGCAGCCCAAGTTCTCCACATCCTCGAGCCGACCTTCACGTGCCAATAAATAACCATACACATCCATCCCTACAGAAACATGTTTGAAGATCAACCCTCAAGAAATGGAAAGTTCATTCACAACAGGTAAAAAACCCACCAGAACCAAAACCACAAACACCTACTTTAAACTGTGCATTTACCGGTAACAGTTCAAGACACGCAGCTTCTGAATGTCAGTTCTGAACTGGTAAAACAATATACAAAACCCAGCTGCATGTGGCTGTTATTCATCAGGTCAACCTTCTTTTAGGATTTGCTCACCTTTTATTAGGTAAGGATCCAGCATTTGTGCTTGTTCAAATTTTAGGATAGAGTTTTTATTATCTCCAGCTCTGAAGTACAGGTCTGCTAAGCTCCCCAGCAAGTCCACGTTATCCCTCAGCAAGGACTTCTTCTCCAAAGAGCTTAAAGCGAGACAAATGCCCATTATTTATAAATGTCACTTTCAATAGCATTATATATGATTAATATATTATTTGATTGCATCATGCTCTTTCCTCTCTTACCAAATGGTGTTTATTGCTCTTGTGTTATCTCCTGTATGCACAAAGGCGTATGCCTTGATCCACACAGAAAGCCAGTCCAAGTTGGGAATGCTCTGGATTATGTTGATGGTCATGGAGGCCACTTCTGCTCCTTTCACTGACAGTGACAGCAAGCCTGTTCAGGACAGTAAATACATCAATCTCAGCCACCAAAAATTGCTTTTGACACAAATTAATTGTCTGAGGACCAGAAACTTCATCCCTTGACAAGCATAAAAATGCAGCTTGTTAAAATTTGCATAACATAGGCATTACATACCACATGCAAAGCAAGACAGTTACCTAGTACCGAGCATAATTCAAATTATAGCACTATTCAACACTGCAGACACCCACCCAGGATGGCATCCAGTGCCAGAGGGCACTGCCTCAGCACTTCTTTGTAGCTCGTCACAGAGGAGCGCTCCTGCCCTGCCTTCTTGTAGAGATTTGCCAACATCATATTGATCTACAAACAACAGAAATGTTGGGAGAGTCAAGTGTGAGAAAGGAGCAAGAACAACTAAGAAAGGTCAGAACCCTGTCCTCAAGTCTGCCTGCCTTCTGTTCTGGGCAGAAGACAGAATTACTCACTCTTCTGAGAACGCTGTCATGTACCATACAGTACAAGATTAAAATTGTGGCTTCTCTCTGAGTACAGAGACAAAATCTACATTCTTTTGTATTTGCTCAGAGCATCTTGAAATCTGTGTTTTGCACGTGAGAAGTCAAAAGATGGGCAAGTGTTTAGATAGGATGTGTCCATTACATCAGCCTCTTCCAGTGGTCCTCTCTGTATCCACGGAAGTGTTTGAGAGAATGAGCTTAGGAAGGCAGAGAAAGTCTCCATTCAGCTTCTGAATGAAGTCATGATTGATTAAAGAACAGAAATTATCTGAGCTCTGCACAACACCAGTAGCTGGTTTCTGCTACAACACTTTCATTTACTGGTGTGTGCAGGCAAAAAGTTTGTTTTTCTCAATCTTTTCTTCTTTCTCTGTTCTGTAAATTGGCCTTTGAACAGAACACTCTGACACTGATTGGAGTCTAAGCCACGTACACTTTTAGGACAATTTAACATGAAACACAGTTGACTGACTTGATGTGTTAATCTTTTAAGCCCTTATGACTAACAGAGCCAGCCAGCAAAGACTCCACAGATTTGGCACTGCAGACCACAGTGGGATCTAAATATTTAACATTATCTAAACTGTGCTTTAAAAGGATTAAAAGATTTTAAAAGATGGAGCACTAGGAAACCTTCTACTTCCAGCCTTCCAAGGATCTTACATTGCTCCAACTATGCAATGAGTTGGTAAAGATGCACAAAGCATTTAACTCCCTTCCCTTTTTTGAATTCTTTCTAACAGAGAGAATACAAAACTGCTCTGATTTTAAAGAAATGAGTTCAAATAAGCTAATTTAAAATTAGGAAATGTTACCACACAACAAAAGCAAATACCAAGACATAACAGCATTATACCTACAGGTTATATTCTTTTTTGACGAGGCACTGGCCTATAGATACACTGACCAAGAACCTGTGACAAAAACCTGCCAGAACTAACCTTTGGGGTCCTCTGTCTGGAAGGAATCCCATCAAGAATGGCAATGGCATCTTTATCTTGCTTCAGCATTGTGTAACATTCAGCCATTTTGTATTTCACTTCAATTTCTGATGGTAAACACTGAAACAAAAAAGGAAGATTTAAATACAATGTTGGTTTAATCAGATAAAAAGAATTAATAGGGCTTCCTCATTAAATATTTATACTATGTTGAAAAATATCTAGCACAAGTAAGTCAACAATGCAACTTACTGCTAGTTCATACTGTTCCTGTCTTCAAATGAAAAGCATGAGTTACATACAGGAAAATTTCATGTTCAAGACTATTTTAAGTCTTCCGTTAGAAAATAAAACATTTGATGTTATTAAATTAATTAGCCTTAAGTGTCAGGTTTATTTGATATAGTAAATCCACAATCTAAGGTATTTATAAGACATGTAAAGGTCATGCTCAGGGACATGGTTTAGTGGTGGCCTCGGCAGTGCTGGGATAAGGGTTGGGCTCCATCTTAAGGATCTTTTCAATCTCAATAATTCTATGAATATTGAGTCAGCAACATTAATGGTAAGGGGGAACATGATCACTTTACACAGCACATTATCAGTTTTAAATACCTGGCTTTGGGGTGTTGATGTAGCATTCCCAGTGGAAGGTCTTACTTTGGAAGTTTTACTTAAGGCTTTTTTCTGCTGCAAGGCCATCGTGTACTTACTGACAGCATTCCTATATTCCTTGTCATGGAACAGAGAGTCTGCGTGATAAACAAGGAGCTGGTACTTCTGAGATGGTGAAAACAGTTCCCTAAAGGAATGCAAACAGAAGGGCTGAGATCAGCTGGCTGCTTAAGAACCAAAACCTCATAGATCCAAAGTATTTGCAGCTTTGGTTTGTCTGGCTTCAACTTCCAGCTGTTGCTGCTTCTTTACTACCCTGGAAGGACTCTTGAGTAACAGGTACTAATTCCAAACACAGGGATTATCTTACCAATTTCTTTTATCTGTGAACAAACAAAGGTAACAGCCACTCCTGACACCTCATCAGCAACAACAGCTCAGTGTTTGGCTGCTTGGCCACTGCCCCCATCCTTCCCACAACAAACCACAGGCTGTCAATGTCCATTACACTAGGTCAACTTTCTTTTAGGATTTACTCACCTTTGATTATTTATTAGTATTATTATTTTACTGATATTTTAATTATCCAGCATTTCTGCTCGTTCAAAGTTTAGAATTTTGTTTGAACGGACCCAAGTTTAAAAGGCAACACAGTTCCTTGCACAACTATTCTGGTCCTAATCTGTGTTCCCACATTTTAGAAACTCCCTTTATAACACTCCCAGTATGTCTGCAGAGGTTTTGGAAGAGTTACGGTTTTGGAATGGGATTTGGGTTCAAACAGTACCTCAAAACCCACACAAAAAGTAAAATGACAGCCAAGAAACAAAGGGGATCTATTGATTCAGGGGTAGAGCTGTGAAGTACACAGGGCACCCCTGGAACGGGAAAATCGATTCTGTTACTCAAAAGATGGAGAGAGACTATTTACAACGGCCTGGAGTGACAGGACAAGGGGGAATGGCTTCACATTGACAGAGTAGGTTTAGATTGGATATTAGGAAAAAATCCTTCCCTGTGAGGGTGGTGAGGCCCTGGCACAGGTTGCCCCGAGAAGCTGTGGCTGCCCCATCCCTGGAAGTGTCCCAGGCCAGGTTGGACGGGGCTTTTAGCAACCTGGGCTAGTGGGAGGTGTCCCTGCCCCTGGCAGGGGGATGGAACAAGATGATCTTCGAGGTTCCTTCCAACCCAAACCTTTCTGGGATTCTCTGCCAGGACACCCCAAAGGGACGCTGATGCTGGTACCCAAACAGAGCCGGGCTCCATCCCTGACAGGAACAGGACAGGGACAGTGTGCAGGGACAGGACAGGGTGCAGAGACAGGACAGGGATAGGACAGGGACAGGGGACAGGACAGTACAGGGTGCAGGGACAGGACA